TGCTGAATGGGGCCAGCGCGGCCACTTCTGCCCTACTGAGGAAGCTAAAGACCCTGGCCCATCTCTGACGGCTCGGGGCACAGGAAAGCCTTTCCGCTACCTGGTCTGCCCTCTGCTGCTGCACCAGTGTCCTCTGTGGCCCACGGCTCTTGGCTGGACCTGCACTGAAGGACACAGCAGGTCCACACACAGCTGCGCAAACTGCCCTTCCAGCCTCTGTGTGCGGCAGCTGCTGCAGTGGGTTACAACCAGCCTCCTGGCTGCTCTCCCAGTGCATGGCTGATTGCGTTCTTACACTGGAAGATAAACAGTGCTGTGTCCAAGAAAATAGAAACAAGGTCGGGCATGGTGGCTCATGCCTGTGATCCCAGGGCTTTGGGAGGCTAAGGCAGGTGAGTCACTTGAGGTCAGGAGTTCAAGACCAGCCTGGCCAACATGGCAAAACCCCTTTTCTACTAGAAATATAAAAATTAGCCAATCATGGTGGTGTTTCCCTGTAACCCCAGCTACTCAGGAAACTGAGGCCGGAGAATCACTTGAACCCAGGAGGTGGAGGTTGTAGTGAACCAAGATCACGCCACTGCATTCCAACCTGGGAATGCTCATATGAGCACTGACTCAACAGAGACCTTGTCTCACAAAAAAAAAAAAAAAAAAAAAGAGGTAGAAGTTGGAAAAGTGGTTATCTTGAGGATGGAGGGTCTGCAGACTGAGGGGGCATGAAAGGGCCTCTAGGGTGCTGAACGTGGCTTCTATCTTGACCTGGGTGGTCATACACAAACGTACAAATCCGTTAACATGCACCAAGCTGTGTCCCTAAGATGAGCTCACTTTTTAGTATGTATGTTACCTGTTAATAACAATTGATAAACGCCCTCTCTAAAATCCCACATCTTCCTATGGCTACCATAGATATTTCAGGCTGAGAATTGTTTTTGCTCCCCATATTTGCTATTCGAGATCGGTATAATTTTGCAACTCCCCTTTTTCCTTACCAACAGAATTGCAATTTTGTTAGGTTCGAGAGGTACCCAATTAATACTATTTACCCAAACTCTCTTGCAGCTAGGCATTGCCATGAGATACAATGCCAGCCAGTCAGAAATAAGCAGATGTCTGCTGGGTAGGGCTTCCAGAAAAGCTATCATTTTCTTTTTTTTCTTTTTTGGAGACAAGGTCTCGCTCTGCCACCCAGGCTGGAGTGCAGTGGTACTATCACAGTTCACTGCAGCCTCCAATTCCTTGAGCGATCCTCCCACCTCAGCCTCCCAAGTAGCTGGGACTACAGGAGTGTACCACCACACCCAGCTAGATTTTTTTTAAAAAATTTTTTGTAGAGATGAGGGTCTCACTCCAGGCAGGTCTTGAACCCCTGGCCTCAAGCAATCCTCTTGCCCCAGCCTCTCAAAGTGCTGGAATTACAGGCATGAGCCACTGCATCTAGAAAAGCTATCTTTTTTTTTTGCTTAAAAGAGGGTTAGATCCATCTCTCATGCGTCTTTTGCTCTCTGTCCTCCCTGCTCCATTTTTCTGCTGAGAATGTAGATGCTTCTTACTACCATGAAGTGAAAGCGAAGATCCAGGGATGGTGGAACAGACAGCCAGAAGGAGCCCAGGCGTGGATGAGTAAGTGGGCCTGAGCAGCAGCCCCAGCCACGGACTCCCTAATTCCTTCGTGTCCCGTGAGAAAAATCAATCTCTATGTGTTTAAGTCTCTGTTATTTGGGCACATTGGACAATCCTCAAATGAGATAGAAGGCTTTGATCTTCATAAATGGCAAAGACTTCTAGAGACAGAAGGGGGCTTGCACGTGCTAGTCCACTGTGGCTTCATATCATGACGAAGCAAGGGCTCGAGAAAAAAAAAAGGAGGGGAGGAATCCACAAGACATTCCCAAAGTGAAGGCTGCAGGCCCCCCTCCCACCTTCTCCTGACAGCAGTCTTCACCGCTCCCTATGACATCTGAATTCTCCTGATGGTAGAAAGGGCTGGGGGAAGACGGCCCAAGGTGAAGAGGAGGAGCTCGGTTCACATCAGCTTTCCCGAGAGCGGGTCTTAGAGTGTTACGGCCACTGCATCATTCAGTTTCTCAATCTATTATTTTTAACAACCACTTCTGATAAACAGAAACTTCACTTTCTGGTTTGCATTAAGAAAGCCTGGCCTTTTCTCTCTCTCTTGGAAAATGTCCAAGCATCTTCAAATGTGCTGCCATCTCCCCCGCTGCGACACCCGGGAGTTTCTGATACCCTGCCCACACTTCCTGAAAATCTGCGGTCTAATTTAAGTTTCCTAAGATTCTGCAAAGTAGACAGAGACCTTGGTGACTCCAGTGACACCACAACTCTTAGGGGAAGATGAGTCATGTATGTGACAGAAGCAGGTAATGGAGGAAAACAGAGACAAGGTTGCCTGGGGACAGGAACACAGCGCAACCAGTTTTGCCCCCATCTGGTGTGCCTTTGGCAGGATCAGCCAGCACCTGACTGCAAACTTCTGTCTCCAGACACTCTCCTGCCTCTCCTCCCTTGCTCAAGGTCAGCAATGAAAGGCAGCCCAAGGAAACAACCAGCTGCCTTCTGGCCTTTACCGAAGGGTGATGTGAATCCACTCAAACTACCCAGTGGTCCAGCCTGGAAGCTGCAGGGGGAGGGTCTTTTAGTCCTGTGCCTAGTCCGGCGGTCACCTCTGCATGGATGGCAGATGGGGAAGGAGGCTCAAGGAAAAAGGAAAAGGTCAGGCAATCTCTCCAGGATTCCAGGAACAAACATTCCTCCTCCCAAGCTCTTCATTCTGTTTCCCAATCAAGTCCAGAGTCTTATAAACACTCATGGAAACCATGAAGGCTAAACAACTTGGTAAACAGTAGAGAGAAACAGTAAACAGAATCTTCCCTCTACTTCCTGTGTATCCAGAATGTTTAAAGACAGGGAGGTGGGCACTGATGACAGATCACAGCATCTGGGATCTGGGGCTATGGCGGGAATGAGGACATGTGGAAGGCTGGGAGTTGCCTGAGTCTTGGGAGTCTGGGGTTGAAGGTCATTCCTTCACAGTTTCAGGGAAAGAGTGAAGGCCACTGGCAAGAAGCCTGGTGATGACACAGACACGCCCTGTGGGAAGCAGGTGACACCATCTCCACCCTGGCCTGTCCCCTGTGTCCTCCTCTGTTGGATGCACAGGACTTCCAGGGGCTGCCAAGAAAGCTGGGTCTAACCTGGGGCCTCACAGTACAGTGGCAAGTGTAGTGTGGGGGTAAAGACCATGGACTCTGGCTGGGCTCAGGCCTGTAATCCCAGCACTCTGGAAGGCCGAGGTGAGCGGATCACTTGAGTCCAGAAATTCGAGACCAGCCTGAGGAACATGGTAAAACCTCATCTCTACAAAAAATACAAACATTAGCCAGGCATGGTGGCGCATGCCTGTAATCCCAGCACTCTAGAAGGCCAAGGTGGATGGATCACTTGAGTCCAGAAATTCAAGACCAGCCTGGGCAAGATGGCAAAACCCTGTCTCTACAAAACAAAACATTAATAAAATAAAATAAAACAAAAACATTAGCCAGGCATGGTGGTGCACGCCTGTAAACCCAGCTACTCAGGAGGCTAAAGCAGGAGAATTTCTGGAGTCAGAGGTTACAGTGAGCCAAGATGGTGCCACTGTATTCCAGCCTGGGTAACAGAGTGAGACTCTGCCTAAAAAAAAAATCAGTCAGCCATGGTGTCGCACACCTGTAATTCAAGCTACTCTTAGGCCACAGATGGCAGAACAGAGACTTCTTCTCTAGGTCAGGAGGAAAACATGTTCCAACGATCCTTGCTTCCTTGGGTGTGTATTTCAAAGGGACCTTCATGAGCTTCTAACCTGGGGCTACCAAGGCAGGAGAGGGGGAAACAGTGAGACTTTATCAGGGAAAGGAATGGAGGCTGAGTGCTACTCCCTGACGAAGAGCCACACTGGCACCTGAACTTGGGCCTCCTGAATTCCTAACACTTTCCCCGAGAGACGGCACCTGTCTGCCCTAGTCTCTGGAGTCTACACCAAGGGGCTCACTCTCTATGAAGCTGTGTTACAGGCTTGAGACGAGGCTGCACTAAGTGCTTTATATAAACGACCACTGAATCCTGGCAGAAATCCTGGGATGTCAGACTTCCCATGCTCACTTGACTGCAAGAAACTACAGTCAGAAAACTGATCTGCCCCAAGGTTGTCATGAAGAAACCTGGATCTGAGCCACATTTGCCTGACTGTAACTCCCACACTATTTCCATCATAACAAGATGCAGGCTAGGAGCAGCCTGTTTCAGCTGAGATGGGCCAAAGAAATGTGTTAGGTGCAGAGGGCAGGAGACCACAGAGAAAGTAAAAAATTGAAGAAGAAAAGGAAGGAGAGCTGGGCGCAGTGGCTCATGCCTGTAATCCCAGCACTTTGGGAAGCCAAGGCAGGCAGATCACTTGAGGTCAGGAGTTCAAGACCAGCCAACATGGTGAAACCCCATCTCAACTGAAAATACAGAAATTAGCTGGGCGTAATGGCAGGTGTCTGTAATCCCAGAGAGGCTAAGGCAGGAGAATCACTTGCACCTGGGAGGCGAAAGTTGCAGTGAGCTGAGACCGCAACACTGTACTCCAGAGTGGGCGACAGAGTGAGACTCAGCCTCAAAAAAAAAAAAAAAAAAAAAAAAGAAGAAGGAAAAGGAAGGAGGAAAGCCCATTTCTGAGAATGAACAGAATGACAGAAGAAACTGCCTAAGAAAGAGAAGAGAAAATAATATGACTTGGGAAGAAAAAAAAAATGCCTGGGATTTTTTTAAAATCAGGAATTAAGGACAGAAAAAATCTGCATTTGGGAGTCAAGAGTGAGGATTCTCTAGGGAGAGAATAAAGATGCTGGGCCTTTCCTTTGGGTTTGAGAGGAAATAGTGCTTAAAGACTGGCCTTCCTTTCTCTGGTCACGTGGCTAGTGCTGGTATAAAGGCTTCCACCAGTCAGGTTCCTCACCATTTTTTCCTGCATGACATGGGCAGAAGCAGGGGCTAAAGCTCCATTCCACTCTCCGGGAAGCCTGCAGACCTGCCTTCAGGACCAATCCCAAGAAGCCGTCTAACCGGAACAAGGCAAGGCGAGGCAGCTAGTGTCGTGCCTGTGCTCTGGGAAGAGAGGCCAGGATGAGATTTGAGGGGACGGTGCTGGGGGTCTGGAGGAAGGCTGTCAGAACCAAATGGAAGGCTCATACAGAGAGAAAGGAGCCAGTTGGGAGCGGGGCGGGACGGGGCAAGGAAACAGCCAGGAGACCGAGGCTGAAGACTGGATGGAGGGACGGGACCAGTGTTGGGGGCTAGCAAGAGTGACACCCCAAGTGGAAACTGAGTTACCCCGTGAAGAAGACAAGTTCTGTTTCTGATCAGAGTGCGAGGCTCAGGAGCCAGTGAAGGCCTGTGGGCTTTTCTGAATGTTGTTCCTCCAAGGTCTTCTGGGGACAAGGCTTCCTCCTAAGGCTAGTGCTAGTCCGTCCTTCCTCCCTCCACCCCACTCTAAGCCTCCCAGCTTCCCCTTTTCTCTTTTCTCTCTCTCTCTCTTTTTTTTTTTTTTTTTTTTTTTTTTTTTTTTTTTTTTTTTTGAGATGGAGTTTTTCCTCTTGTCACCCAGGCTGGCTTGCAATGACATGATCTTGATTCACTGCAACCTCCATCTCCCGGTTTCAAGTGATTCTCCTGCCTCAGCCTCCCGAGTAGCTAGGATTATAGGCACCTGCCACCTTGCCCAGCTAATTTTTCATTTTTTATTTGTAGTAGAGATGGGGTTTCACCACATTGGCCAGGCTGGGCTTGAACTCCTGAACTCAGGTGATCTGCCCGTCTCAGCCTCTCAATGTGCTGGGATTACAGGCGTGAGCCACTGTGGCAGGCCCCAGCTTCCCCTTTTCTAGAGAGTCCCAGAGTTTGGTGTTGGGCAGGGGAGGACAAGGTGGGGGAGAATCTATGCTCTGTGAAACAGAGGAAGGGAAGGAGGAAGCTGGGCTGGCAGCTGGGCACCTGGGTCCTGTGGAGAACTGGCACTGGGCATTGGGGCCTGGGGCCCCACAGCCTCGTTATCCTGACATGCATCTTACAGCTCTCTGCCCGCACTGATGCCTTTCTGTCCCGCAGGTCTCTGTCTGAGAAAGGGACTTGAGTAAAGTTAGGAACTGGTGACACTAACTTCCTGTATCTGTGAGGATAGGAGAAGAGCTAGGGAAACTGGAGGGGGAATTCCCTTGGGAAACCACAGGCTGGCCTCCCCCAGAGACACATGATACCAAACGTAATCACTACTGCTTAATATCCCGCCCAGGCAAAGTCAATAATTGCTCTGGGCAGTTCAAGCAGGTGGTGTGAGCAAGCCGTGGTGGCATCAGAAAGCACTGTCCTGGGAAGGGGACAGTGCCAGGGAGGATGTCTGCATCCTGAACGGGAGCAGGCTGCGCAGCCTGTGAGTGAGACCCCTTGACCCCGCCCTTTTTGATTCCCCTCCAGGATGCTGGACTGGAAGAGCTCCTTGACCCTCACAGCTTATGTCATCATCTTCCTCACTGGCTTCCCTGCCAATCTCCTGGCCCTGCGGGCCTTCACGGGACGGGTCCGCCAGCCCCAGCCTGCACCTGTGCACATCCTCTTGCTCAGCCTGACGTTGGCCGACCTCCTCCTGCTGCTGCTGCTGCCCTTCAGGATCATCGAGGCTGCGTCGAACTTTCACTGGTACCTGCCTGAGATCGTCTGCGCCCTCACGGGTTTCGGCTTTTACAGCAGCATCTACTGCAGCACGTGGCTGCTGGCGGGCATCAGCATCGAGCGCTATGTGGGAGTGGCTTTCCCTGTGCAGTACAAGCTCTCCCGCCGGCCTCTGTATGGAGTGATTGCAGCTCTCGTGGCCTGGATTATGTCCTTTGGTCACTGCACCATCGTGATCATCGTTCAGTATTTGAACACAACCGAGCAGGCCAGAAGTGGCAATGAAATTACCTGCTACGAGAACTTCACTGACCGACAGCTGGAGGTGGTGCTGCCTGTGCGGCTGGAGCTGTGCCTGGTGCTCTTCCTCATCCCCATGGTGGTCACCATCTTCTGCTACTGGCGTTTTGTGCGGATCATGCTCTCCCAGCCCCATGTGGGGGCCCAGAGGCGGCGCCGGGCTGTGGGGCTGGCTGTGGTGACGCTGCTCAATTTCCTGGTGTGCTTTGGACCTTACAACGTGTCCCACTTGGTGGGGTATTACCAGAAGAAAAGCCCCTGGTGGCGGACGATAGCCGTGGTGTTCAGTTCACTCAACGCCAGTGTGGACCCCCTGCTCTTCTATTTCTCTTCTTCCGTGGTGCGCAGGGCATTTGGCAGAGGGCTGCAGGTGCTACGGAATCAGGGCTCCTCCCTGTTGGGACGCAGAAGCAAAGACACAGCAGAAGGGACAAATGGGGACAGGGGTGTGAGTCAGGGAGAGGGAATGCCGAGTTCGGACTTCACTACGGACTAGCAGTTTCCCTGGACCTTCGGAGGTGGCCTGGGTTACACAAGAGCTGGAAAGGCTGGGAGAGGGGGAGCAGGAGGGTTCCCGTCCAGATTCAGAAATCCTCAGACCCAGTCTGGGACTGGGACTTTGAACAAAAGCCTTTCACCAGCTTGGTATCCCCTCCTGACAGAATTTTCTTACTCAAAGGAGCATAGCTCAGAGATGCAAGAAGAAATAGTTAGGCATAGAAGCACCGGCCGGGCACGGCGACTCACGCCTGTAATCCCAGCACTTTGGGAGGCCGAGACAGGCAGATCACAAGGTCAGGAGATTGAGACCATCCTGGCCAACATGGGGGAAAACCCCATCTCTGCTACAAATACAAAAATTAGCTGGGCATGGTGGCGCACACAATCCCAACTATTCGGGAGGCTGAGGCAGGAGAACCACTTTAACCCAGGAAGCGGAGGTTGCAGTGAATGGAAATTGTGCCACTGCACTCAGCCTGGTGACTGAGCGAGACTCCGTCTCAAAAAAAAAAAAAAAAAAAAAAAAAAAGGACTTTCAGGCTGGGGAAGCAGCGTAGCTAACATGAGTCCAGTCCCCGTGATGTGGTTGGTGGTTGGGGGTGGCCAGGCTAAAGCAGGGAGCCCTATAACAATCTCGATACAAGCTTCAAAGCAACAACCTAGACACTGCTCTAGCAGTTGATGCTGGAGGTAAACCAACAGGAAAGAGATAGAAGAGAAATACTAAATGAGTTCAAAAAAGACTCAGAAACGTTCTGAGCTTGGAAATGATCAGGGAGGCCTCAGGGCTTAGACCTTTAATGACAGTTTCTCTGCATCGGTCTGACCTGTTGCCTTTTCAGTGTGCTCTGTTTGATTTCACATGTTATCTTGTCTCCCCGTCTAAACTAGGAGCTGCCAGAGATCTGGATCTTATCTCTTTCCTCCATGGTACCCCATATGGGCCAGGACGTGGGTTGGTACCCAGCAATCAGAAATTGGCACTGCCTCTTACAAGGGAAAGCAACCTGGTCTAGCAGATGGAAAATAAAGATGATAAAACTCTTAAGTGAGTGTCCACAATTTTTGTAACACTTCTGCAAGTACAGGGAGGGCAAAAATGGGAGAGAGGTCAGGAGGCTGAGGCTGGAGGATCTCTTGAGCCCAGGAGTTCTGGGCTGTAGTGCGCTATGCCGATTGGGTGTCCGCACTAAGTTCGGCATCAGTATGGTAACCTCCCGGGAGTGGGGGACCACCAGGTTGCCTAAGGGGTGAACCGGCCCAGGTCGGAAATGGAGCAGGTCAGAACTCCTGTGCTGATCAGTAGTGGGATTGTGCCTGTGAATAGCCACTGCACTCCGGCCTGGGTGACAGAGCAAGACTGTCTAAAAAAAAAAAATTAAAATAAATAAAAAAGATGCTTCCCCAAGGAACTCATATTGTACCATTCTTTTCCTTGCTTTGTGCCCTCTCTCCCCTTCCAGTTCTACCTGCCCAGCTCATTTCTCCACAGTAAGGACTCCTAGACCGTTCTCTCTAGTTCACTGACCTCCAGCCCCTAACCTAGTAGTTTGCATCCCAGGCTGTACATCAGAATTACATGCGGAGATGTGAAAATAATACAGACAGCAACCTTCAACCTGACAGAATCTCTGCAGGTGGGGCCCCAGCAGGTGAGCTTTTTTTTTTTTTTTTTTTTTTTTTTGAGACAGAGTTTCGCTCTTGCTACTCAGGCTGGAGTGCAATGGCGCGATCTCGGCTCACCGCAACCTTCGTCTCCTGGGTTCAGGCAATTCTCATGCCTCAGCCTCCTGAGTAGCTGGGATTACAGGCACATGCCACCATGCCCAGCTAATTTTTTGTATTTTTAGTAGAGACGGGGTTTCACCATGTTGACCAGGATGGTCTCGATCTCTTGACCTCGTGATCCACCCTCCTCGGCCTCCCAAAGTGCTGGGATTACAGGCTTGAGCCACCACGCCCGGCCCAGCAGGTGAGCTTTTAAAAAAAAAGTGCCCCAGGTGGCCAGCTAGGGTCAGGAATCACTGTCTTAGCTCAGAAGCCCAATCTGTCCAAGAAATTGTTCTTCAGATACCTTGCCTGCTTAGAGTTGGGGTCTCACTCTGCTGCTCAGGCTGGGTGCAGTGGCACAATCATGGTTCACTGCAGCCTCAAGCTCCTGGGCTCAAGTCACCCTCCCACCTCAGCCTCCCAAGTAGATGGGACTACAGGTCCACACCACCATACTCAGCTAATTATTTTATTTTCTGTAGAGACGGGGTGTTGCCCAGGCTGGTCTTGAACTCCTGCCCTCAAGTGATTCTCCTGCCTTGACCTCCCAAAGTGTTGGGATTATAGGCGTGAGCCACTGCACCCAGCCCTCCCCCATTTCCTGGTGCTTGCTTCCTTCTCAGTTACAAAATCCACTCAATATTCACTTTCTCGAGAAAACATTTCCTTATTAGTCCCACTGAATTGAAGGCTCTTTTTCTATTTTCCTACTGCTAAAAAAGACTGGACAGGTGTCATAAGAACCCTGAATTCAGTGTCTATTCCACTTACTAAATGGATGGCCTGAAGTAAGCCACCGCCTCCAGCCTCTATTTCGAAATCAGAGTGATTAGGATACTATATGCCTCCCAAGATTATTCTGCGGATTAAAATGAGACTCCACGTATAAAACTGCTGAGAAATCATAGAGTATTAAGTAGTTCTAAGATATAAATCCATGTACACAGATGTACCCTCACTTATTAGAAATATAATAAGTAAACATTAAAAATGATGGAAATAATGCTGGGTGTGGTGGCTCATGCCTGTAATCCCAGCACTTTGGGAGGCCAAGATGGGCAGATCACTTGAGGTCAGGAGTTCAAGACCAGCCTGGCCAACATGGCGAAACCCTATCTCTACTAAAAGTACCAAAAAAATTAGCCAGGCATGGTGGCAAGCACCTGTAATCCCAGCTACTCAGGAAATTGAGGCACAGAAATCACTTTAACCTGGGAGGCAGAGGTTGCAGTTAGCTGAGATCGTGCCACTGCACTCCAGCCTGGGCAACAGTGAGAGACTCTGTCTCAAACAAACCAACAAACAAAAGATAGAAATAATATAGTAGGTCGTCAACTACGTAATGGCATGGCAGTAATATGTGAGAAAAAATCTGGGATTCTGAGCTGACTGTACATGCGCTATGAGTCTGTCATGTATGACAGCTTCCACAAAAGCTAACTGGATTTGGATGACATGAAAAGAAATCATGTCTAGACAAGCTGATGATACTGATGCGGGGCGGGAGTGCTAAGTGGGGCTGTGCCTGAGAGGGTTCTTGGCTTTGCCCTGGAAAGAATTCAAGGGCTAGCCATTGGTGGAAGGAAACAGCTTTGTTGAAGCAGCCGTGTTGCAGCCCCAGCCCTGTTGCAGCTCTGTGACTGCTCCTGCAGAGCAGGGCCACCCCATAGGCAGAGAGCAGACCTCAGGGCAGTTTTGCAGTCATATTTTTGCCTACTTTTAATTGCACATAGATTAAGGGGCAGTTTATGAAGAAATTTCTAGGGAAGGGGTTGTCACTTTTGGGTTGTCAGGTCATTGCCATGGAAAGGGTAGTAACTCCCATGTGTTGCCATGGCCACAGTAAACACGGCACTCTGGTGGGCATGCCTTATGAAAAGCTGCTCCACCCTTTCCCTGTTTTAGCTAGTCCTTAATTTGGTCCAGGGTCTGAACCCCATCCCTGGGGTCAAGTCTCACCTCCCACCTTAATAATTCCCATTCCACTTAAGTCTAATTAGCAGAAGGTTCAGAGCTGAGCAACACATTTTTTGGGGTTTTTCTTGAGATGGAGTTTCATTCTGTTGCCCAGGCTGGAGTGCAGTGATGCGATCTCGGCTCACTGCAACCTCTGCCTTCCAGGTTCAAGCAATTCTCCTGCCTCAGCCTCCCGAGTAGCTGGGATTACAGGTGCACACCACCACACCTGGCTAATGTTTGTATTTTTAGTAGAGACGGGGTTTTGCTATGTTGGCCAGGCTGATCTCAAACTCCAGACCTCAAGTGATCCACCTGCTTCAGCCTCCCAAAGTGCTGAAATGATAGGCTTGAGCCACCGCATTCAGCCTGAGCAACACAATTTTAAGAAGAACACTAACTCAAGGAATCAAGCCCAGAAAATTTGACCAAAATGTTTTGGAGATTTAACCCTGTATAACAGTAGTAATAATAATAATAGAACAAATTAAATGCCAGGCACTTTGCCAAGAAGGCGCCTGAGAGGGTTAAGGGCACTTTTCAAGGCCAACAGGTGGCAGGGAGTTTAAATCCAGGTCTTTCTGAATCTAAAGTGCATGCTGTTTTCACTGACGCGTGAGAAGGAAGTAAGAGAACACTGGCTGGGACATGATAAGGTCTTTTCTTTTTTCTTTTTTTTGAGACAGGGTCTTGCTCTGTCACCCAGGCTGGAGTGCAATGCTGCAATCCTGGCTTACTGCAACCTCCACCTCCCAGGTTCAAGCAATTCTCCTGCCTTAGTGTCCCAAGTAGCTGGGATTACAGGCATCCACCACCATGCCTGGTGAGAAGATGCATGCTATGTAGCCACACAGAATGGTCTCGAACTCCTCACCTCGTGGTCAGGAAGGAAACACTTTGCATGGACTTTGCAGGGAGCTGCTAGCCCAGTGAAAATCCTGCATGTTTGCATAGTAGTCTATGGTTTCTTAACTCTCAAGCACATGATCTCCTTGGTCCTAACATTTCCCTCCAGGTACCTTCAGGTAGGCACAGCTGCCAGAATTATCTTCTTAAAATGGAAATCAGATCATTCCACTCTCTTGCTTCAAATTGTCGAATGGCTTCTAGAGGCTCTTAGAATACACTCGAATTCCTTTCTGTGACCTAAAAGCCCCTGCTCAGCTCCTCAGCCTCATCTTCTTCCACTCTGTCCCCATTCACAGTCTTCCGGCTTAGAGCTTCTCAGCTTGTGGCCTCTGAGCCAGCAGCAGCTGCATCACCTGGGAACAAGCCACTTGACACATCGACCTGTTTCTTCATTTGGAAATGCAATCTCCCAAATTAGTGGTGTTCAGCGGAGCCCTGAACGATGAAATGGAGTTGACATACAAAGGCCCCAAGGAACATTCTGGAAAACAGAAGTTGCTGATGCAAAGACTCCGAGGAGAGGGAAAACCTTAGCATCCCTCAAGGCCAGTGCAGAGCTAGAACAGGGGGTTCAATTGGAAGCAAATATTGGAATCACCTGAAGTGTTTGCCGAACTATAGATGACAGTCCTCACCCCTATAGGGCTTCAGAATCTGTAGGCATATTGGTTATGGTTCTCTACAAAATCAGAACCAACAGCACAGACAGATTACATAGACAGATACGTAGGTAGATAGATAGTAGATTAGACTAGATTAGATAGATAGGTAGAGATACATAGGTCGGTAGTAGGTAGACAGATACTAGATAAGATAGATAGATAGATAGAAAGATAGACAGACAGACAGACAGATAGAGGGTAGGAAGCCCTGATTTACTGCATTTGTCAATTTCTGTGGCATATACACTCCCACTAGGAGTGTATATGAAGATCTTGAACGCGGTTTGGCAGGACCTAAAAGCCTGTGGCTAATAACGGGCTCTTACTATGCTAATAACGGGCTCTTACTATGCTATGATGAATTCAAGCATATCCCTGCATGCCCCTCACAGTACATGTGCTCAAATGGCAGCCAGATCACATCCTCCTTGAGAGAACTTTCTCTTTCCCTACCAACGTTTCATGCAAGCCTCTTGCACAGTGCTTCCGACACAGTAAACACTAGTTAAATGTGGCTGGCTGGGCCCGCTCCAAAGCATCCGGGTGGCTGTATGATTGCACAGCTCCTCTGAACCCCATGCCCCAAAGCAGGATGACAGATGAGTAAACAGAAATATTAGTGCCTGGTTAATGAATAACACAGAGAGCAGCCTAGTGCCGCTACCAGGAAATGGGGGGAGGGCGCTGGCCAACCTGGAGCCCTGACCAGCAGGAAAAGGGAACCTGGCATTGACTATTTCACTTCCCCTTTCTGGAAAAGATGCTCTTGGGCCCCTTCCTCAGCACTTCTA